TTTTTGGTTTTTTTTTAAAAAGGAATTTGCTCATAGTTTTTTTTTTAAACTATAGTCCGCCCCTCCAACGGTCTGAGGGACAGTGAACTGGCCCCCTGTTTTAAAAGTTTGAGGGCCTCTGCGCCTGAGCTTTCCTGTGTGGGCTGGATCTGGGCTGATCACTCCCTATCCCTTTCCCCCTCACATACCCTCAAAGACAACTCTGAAGCCAGCCCGGGCCACAAAGCTGCTTCTGTCTCGCTCAGTCCCTCTTCGCATCTGGGCCCAGGAAGTTAGACCTGATGTGTACTTTAACTCTTCCTTGCAGCGCTTGAGAAGTAGCTCAAGTCTGTGGCAGGCCGTGACTCCAGCAGTGCTTCTGATCTTTACCAAGAGCAGTTCCCAAGACTTCAGCTCCCCATTTTCTCTCTTCTGCCCGCTCCTGGTCTTTCCTCCTTTCTCCTTCCCCCTGCACACCCCTGCACACTTTCTTCACTGTGCCTCACCGCCTTCTCCCAACCCCCACTCCAACATGGCAGCCTCTTGGGGCTCAGTGGGTATTGTACCCCAGCTAACATATCTCTTAACCCCACCTGGCATTTCAGGCCAGAGGCTGAGCCCCAATTTGCTGGTGTCTCCTCCACCCTGCCATCCAATCCCTCCACCTTGCCACCCTGTCCCTGTGCTGCCACCCAGCCTGTCCATGCTGCCCCGGGAGCGTCCAGATGCTTGCCCCGCCTTTGTCTGGTCATGTTCCTCCTCAAGCAACCTTTCCTCTCTGTTCAGATTATGCATTTCTTTTAATATTTTATGAGGCTGAACTGCCTTACGCCGATTCCCCCAGCTCCAGGGAAAAGCGATGGAGTTCTCACCGAGGAGTCCATTTCTTTAAATGCTGCTGACAGCTCCACGGCCCTCGTGGCTGGTTGCTTTCTGCCTGGTTGCTCTCCTCTCTGTTTTGCTCACCTCTCCTTGTCCCCTGCACACCTTCAGGATGACTTCCTGGGATACATTTGCAATTGCCACTCGAGTGTAGCTTGATCTTTGTCCTAGAGAAAGAACCAACAGGACCAGGACCTGGCTGGGCCCTCCTTGTCCCGGCCCAGCAGAACAGCGTTCCCAGCAAACTTCAGGAGGATGACTGAGCTGGAGGCGCAAACAGCTCCCCAGCCTCGGAGGGTCCCTCAACCCTCACCCCACACACAACTCTGCAAGCTTTGTATGAGTTCCTGTATTTGGGGAGGGAGGGGAAGGGAAGGAGACAGGGCATGGCCTGAGTGCTTACTACACATGGAGTGCTGAGATATGACGTCCCTTTCACAAGGCTCTCATTTTACCCTACCAAAGCTCTAAGAAGCACCTAGGTTATCTCCACTGTAATGAAGTGTATTTAGGGGAAGCGGTTTGCCTCCTAATCACACAGTAGAACCTGGATGCAAACCCAAGTCTGTAGATGCCCAAACCTACCTGTTCTTTATCATCCTGAGTCCTTCCTCAGCCTGTATCTGAGATCCGTGGATTCATGGGCATTTCACAGGGCTCCACGCTGTTGGGGGGCACTAAGGGGCAGTACCCTATTGGGGAAGCTGCTCATGGAACATGGTGGATGGTTCCACAGGGAGAACCTTGGTCAGAGGTTCTCAGACAACTCAACCAGCCACCAGGCTACCCTGCCCTGCCCAGCCTTGACCTCTAGCTTGTCCTTTTTGACCTTTTTCCTTTCAAGGTCCACTTGTTATTTATAAAATACAAGCTGAAAGAAAGACCTCTTAGGACATGTGCTGGATCAACTTTCGCGACTCACCTTTCGCGACTCACTAGGCTCTCCCCAGTTCTGCTCTTTCCAGTCTAGAAAATGCTAGTCACCCCCTCTGTATGGTTCAAGGGTTAATTCTAGTTGAATTTAGGAATTTTATCCCTAGTTTCTGCTAAATCTTTACTCTCTCCCACCTCAGTCTCAGAAGAGCTCTGATCTCTGGCTGACTTCTTCTGGAAATTTAATAAGATAAGGTACCTGAATCCTACAGAGACTATCTCAACATCTTTCCAGACTCCTGTTAGGATAACCTCTGGGCCAGGCCAGGAAAAGAAAACATCTGCAGTCCTTTCTGAATAATTCACTCTGGAAGCTAATCTATTCACCCCCAGAAAGTTCTTCCTGCTGTCTAGCCTCAATCCTACTTGCTTTGACATTTGTACAGACTCATGCTCAGACTCAGCTCTTCCAGCACTGGGTACCAGGAATGAGGGTGGCAGAATAAAATCAAGGTGGATGGCAGCTTATTGCATTTTAACTTCCCTATTACCTGCCGAATAGCCTAAGCCGTCAATAAAGCAGCCGTCACAGCCTCTTAGTATCTTTTCCTGGGAGAAGAGAGGCAGAAGGCAAGACAGTGCCTCCCGGAAATGTCAGTAATAGACACAGAGGGAAGCTGACACTGTCCTAATGAGGCAAAAGCAGGTATTTATTTACCTGGCTTCCCTGGGATGTTCTCTAGATGGCTTCTGAATCTGCAGAAGAACCAGCTCCACCCCCTTCCTCTCCCTGGACATACACCCAGGACGTCTGCTGGGCACTGGTCCCTATACCTGTTGGCTGGGCTGGGCTGATGGGGCTCTTCTCTTAGTTCCCAGGGTAGTGTTTTTCTCTTTCTTCCATCTCTACTCTGATTTATTAACTGCCAATAAAATCATGCTTTCAAGAGCTGTCTGTCTTGCTGTCTAGCAGCAAGAAGTTCCTCTGAGAATAATGACCCAAACTTTTGCCTTCTCAGGGTCACAGACACCTGCTCCCAGATCCAGGTCTCTGGTCAAATGACTTTCTGTCCTGGTGTTCCCACCTGAAGCATCAGCGAGGATATCATCTCACCTTCCTCCCACCCAGTGGGTGCCTTGGGAGCTCTGTCTCCTATTGGTGTGAGGCAAAGGTGTTATATAAAAGCATCCACCCTCCACAGCCCTGGCTCACTCATCGCTCTCTCTTTCTTCCTCACCCACCTGGGTCCTCCCTGCTGCCCGTTTTTGTTGTACTCCTGCCAGGTCCCTCATTTCAAAGTTGCCCCAGAGGAGTTTGTCAAGTTCCAGTTCCAGAGATTCACCACCCTCAACCTCCACCCCAGCAACACCGACATCAGCGTGGCCGTGGCTGGGATCCTGAACTTCTTCAACTGTACCACTGCCTGCCTCATCTGTGCCAAAGCAGAATGTAAGTTTCCCCAGGCTGGCTCCGCCCAAGACTGTTCAGTCTTGTTGATTTCAACCTGATTCCCTTTGTCCGTGACTGTAAGTGCACTAAGAAGGGGAGGCTTCCCTCAGATCACAGGGCGGACAGCCAACAGGTTTGGGCATTCCCACTCCTGTGTGCGTGTGTGTGTGCATGTGTGTGTGTGTGCGCATGCATGTGTGTGTGCATGCATATGTGTGTGTGAGAGAGAAAGAGCACCCCTCCAGGAGCACCCTTGGCCAGGACTCTCTGGGCATGATGGAACAGAGAAGAACTAGGTTACAGGGAGACTGGCCAACCGCCAAGCCTTTTTGCATCTGCAAACTCAATTCCCACATTTTCAGCCGCATTGTTAAGGAGATACAAAAAGAGAGAGAGAGGGAAAATATAAAATTGGATGCATTTGTACTTGATGGGTTGAAGAGCTTCTTCCCCTGGAGAGCAGGTTTTGCTGATGGAACAAGGTCCAAGGTCAATTCCTGATAAAGCATTTTTTTGCAAATGCAGGTTTTGGAAATGCATTTTCTGTGACTCTCAGATAATTTGTGACATAAATTTAGTGTTCATGAGATTTAGCTAATTTAAGCCAGCACCTTCCAGCAAATCGGTGCATCTGTGTGCTCCCAGTGGCAGCCTCACACCCACTTGTAGTCAGGCAGGTGCTGGCCACTGGCCGCCACTGGAACCCCGGGCCCCTGGCATCGGTGTCCCGTATAGCTCACCTGGTCCATGGCTTACCCTTAAGACTTTATGGGCTGCACCGTAGAGATATCCCATCTTCCATTAGGATTCCTTCCTGTGGTTTCTCAGAGCTGCTCTGCAACCTTGAGTCCTTCCTCCGTCCTGGGATGCCTACAGCATCCAAATACAAATGTCACCTCCCTATTAAGTGTCAGAACCACCTACCTTATTAGACCTTTACACCCTACTACCTTCACATATGCAATTATCTATCTATCTATCTATCTATCTATCTATCTATCTATCTATCTATCTATCTATCTATCTAAGTCAGGGACTTACTTTGTTGCCCAAGCTGGAGTACAGTGGTATGATCATGGCTCACCACAGCCTCAAACTCTTGGGCTCAAGTAGTCCTCTCACTTTAGCCTCCTGAGTAGCTGGGATTACAGGCACATACTACCACATCTAGCTAATTTTTTTTATTTCTTTTTTTAAATAAAGACGATGTCTTGCTATGTTGCTCAGGCTGGTCTCGAACTCCTGGCCTTAAGCCATCCTCCCATCTCAGCATCCCAAAGTTCTTAGATTACAGGCATGAGCTACTGTGCCCAGCTTTAATTCATTTATTCAACATAGATTTGTTGAGTAGTTACTCTGTATTATCAAAGAAACAAGAGTAACTGAGTCCCAACTCTGGTACTCAGCAGTTGCCCAGTGGGTTTGGGAGTGTTGGGATCCTCTGCTTCCAAGTTGAAGAAGTTGAGACTCCAGGAGGCAAAGTGGCTTACCCAAGGTCACCAACTTCAGCAGCAGCGCCCACACTCAAACACAGGTCTTCTCACTACAAGTCGACAGCTCTTTCCAGAGTCCTGTCGTGGATACAGAGGAGATGCGGCCTCTGCCACCAGTTTATGAAGGCACAGAGTGATTCATGCTGAGTGTCAAATGAGCAATGTGGCTAGTCCAGAAGGAGAGGTCAACAAGCTCAAAAGGGCTTCTGTAAACCCCAAGGATGAAAACGATTTAGAAAAATGGAGAAAAGAGCTGGAGCCTGCTGAGAGTTGGTTGGAGGGGAACTGCCTGAAGCCTAGAGTCATTACTGGCTAAAGATGGAAACAGCATTTGGAGAAGGGAGCAGAGATGCTCAAGTGGCAAGGAAGGGAGCACCAACTTGGTCCTGTGTCTGCTGAGGGCCCTGAGGAATGTCATCCGAGGAAAGACAGTTCTCACCACAGGTGTGCTCTTGAGGAACAACTGGTTTTGGGTATAAGCAAAGGGAATAGAAGTGGGGGAACTGGAATTAGACCCAAGGAGCAGGGGACCCTCAGACTTGGAGAAAGAAAGTTGGCTCCAAGCTTTGTTCAACAGACAGGTTCTCAGAGACACCAGCAAGCCAGGTATGTATAAGAATGTGCTGGTCCTCCACTCAGTCTATCAGCAGGCATTTAGCGATTATCTTCTATGTGCTGGGCACTGTGTTAGGCTCTGTGTGAGACATAAGAAGGAATAACAAACTGGGCATGGTGGCTCATGCCTATAATCCCAGCACTCTGAGAGGCTGAGGTGAGAGGATTGTCTGAGCTCACAGGTTCAAAACAAGCCTGGGCAATTTGTCAAGACCTCATCTCTACAGTAAATCAAAAACTTAGCTGGGCATGGTAGCGCATGCCTATAGTTCCAGCTACTTGGAAGGTTGAGGTGGAAGGATCTCCTGAGCCCAGCAAGTTGAGGCTGCTGTGGCCATGAGCGTGCTACTGCATTCCAGCCCGGGCAACAGATTAAGACTCCAGCTCAAAAAAAGAAAAGAATAACAGTCTCTGTTCTCAGAGACGGAGCAGCCATGTTGGAAAACTAAGCAGGGCCTATGGACATGAAGTAATTAAGACAGCAAAATGATGATTGTGGACTCATGTAGAATTGAAGTGTACTGGAGTTCTCAGAAGGGGGTTGGCAAGAGATCAGGAAACATAGATTCTAAGCCCCTCATTTTGAGAAGAGGAAACTGAGGCTCAGAAAATAGCTTGACTTGTCTGGAGTCCCATAATTAGTTAGTGGTAGAGCTAGGACTTGAACCCAGATCCCTGGATCCCAGTCCAGTGCGCCATCACCATTACAGCAGTATTTGTCAAGCAGGTTTCCTCTGGATCTATGCTGCCCAATGTAATAGCCACGGTCACATGTGACCATTTAAATTTAAATACGATTCATTAAAATAACATTAAAATTCAGTTCCTCAGTCTCTCTAGCTACATTTCAAGGGCTCAATAGCCATGTGACTGGGGGCTACCATGTTGAACAGCACAGATGGAGAACATTTCCATCACTATAGAAAGTTCTAGTGGGACGGCACTGCTTTGATGATAAGTGTTTTGTGGACAAAAAGTTCTATGGCAAAAAAAAAGTTTGCATGACGCCTTATTATATTTTCTCCTCATGGAAGAAGTTGACAATACACATTAGCATGGACACTCTGATGTCCCATGGCCCAAACAACTATTTACCTCATCGTCTTTCAAGTAAGTTTGACCATGAGCCCCACAAGAATGCTGATCTTAAAGCCTGCAGGATGCTCGTGTATTTTATGGACCGCAGTGGGGAATGCTGCATCCCACCAGGTGGGCATCCCCCTGTGTCATGCTCGTACCATTGAATGGTGTAACAGAATCAAGGATTCTTCTCTGGAGCTGACTGCCACAAGCCCATTTAGGCAGGAGTGAACCGATATATACCATGTACACAGCGGGGGTGTTAAGAGACAGAGGGCAGACTATAATTATTTCTAGGCAGATTGTCCTGCCACCTTCTTCAGTGCTGGGCACAATGTTTCACCAACCTGACAGGAAGTCCTTTCTTGTGACTAGCCACAGTCCTTCTTGCTTTTAGGCTGAGACCTGCTTCCTTTGCTTCAGCTCTTACTGGGCTTTGGGAAATATGTTGCTCAGAGGTTTGTTGGGCATCTACTATGTGCTAAGCACTGTGCCAATGCGGATGCCTCCCAGCCCAGGGCTCTTTCATTAAGAATCATGGTATTCCTTGAAATTCAAATAGTTTCTTGCAGATGGCAAAGCATTTTCACTCTGTTTTCCATTTTACCTCCCTCCTCCCCATCATTCTAGAGCTGAGAAGACAGTCTTGGAGCTGTTTAGGAACTTCAGATCACACGGCAGGTACATGGCAAAGCTAAGACTTTAACTCAGGTCTTCTGACTCTCAAGCTGGGACATCTTCCTCCAGGCCCCTCCCACCCTCTACAGGACAGCCCTGAGCAGGGGTTCAAGAGAGGGCTCTGCCAGGCAGGTGTACAGTGTCCTGCAAAGGTCAGAGAGCTCTCAGGAGCAGCATGTCCCATGTTCCCTCAAGCCAGGGGTACAGGATGGCTCAACACAGACAAGGTTCTGGAGAAGAAGCACTTGTTCAGGCACAGCACAGTCAGCCCACAGCCCAGGTGGACCCTTGGCCAGACCACACCCCTCTGCTCAAGTTCACCCACCAAGGCTGCCGAGGGACTCCAGTCCCCACCCACCAGGGCCAGAGGCAGGACGGTGGAGCAAAGCAGGAGAAGTTCAAGGGCAAAGAGGATTAAAAATCTAATCAAAGGATGAGGAAATGAGGGACTGAAGGGAGATGCAGCTCAGAGCTTGAAGGAGACGCTCTTCCATCTTCCTTATTAACACAGGGCCGAGAGACACTGCAAGTAGAATTAGGAACAGAATGTAATTCTATTTTCTAGCCATCAAAATTAGGCATAACGGAGATCATTCCACGGGGAAGCAGGCCACTTATACTCCTGCTCCCCAAAAGTAGATTTTTAATAAGAAGGCTTTGGACCAAGCAGAGATATATTGTGGATTACATTTTTTTTTTTGAATAAGACAAAAAATCAGAACATTTGCAAGTGTCTGTTTCTAATGAGGCTGAGGGAGATGTGGTGAGCGGCCCGGGCGTGGCCATCCTGGTCCCCCCTACAGTACCTGAGGAAGTTGGCTGTTGGGGCGTGGGAAGTCTTCCCACTATGGACCCCGGGGCCTGCTGGTCAGATAACCCAGCCCTGTGACAGAGCTACCTGCTGAGACCCTCAGAATGGATGGCCAAGGTGTATTTCCCTGGTATCTTTGAATGTGGCTCATTTTTTTTTTAAATGCTTGCTTTGGTGTTTCTAACTATCCTACTGTCCTTTTTGTAGTTACATGGACATGGCCTGTGTCTCCCCATCGTCTACCACTTATTTACTACCTGTGTGATCTTGAGAAAGTGACTTAACCCCTCTCTCACTTCTGTTGTCTCGTCTATAAAATGGAG